GAGAAAGAAACAAAGTCATTGATTAACTTATTTACTCTGGAAGTATGTGATTCTAGAGAAACATATATACATGAAACACTTCCCACAACCCAACGACAACCCACACAACTCAAAGGTGCACATGCTCATTAAATGAAAATGAAGTTATTTTCATTTATGTGAAGTGGTTTGTGACGTATTAACCAACTAGCCTGTTCTGGTCCAGAGGCAGCTGTGATTTTAGTTATGCATAGTGTTTTTTTTCACGTGTACAGAATGTGTGTTAGGGGCTGATGTCTTCTAACCAAGAGAAAATTTTAAAATAAAAAAAGAGATATGCTGTCATGCAAGGACTGCTCGATGTGTATTTTACTTCTTTCCTTGCACTGTTATCCCTTGCAAGAAATCTTCATTGTCCAGCTTGTAGCAGAACCTGTTTTCTTTGCCTTGAAAATTCATAGTTCACTGAACTGAACTTTAGATCTCCACTGACGTGGATACCTCGCTCACATACTGACAACTAAACTCAGCCATCTTCATTTGCAAAACTCTCCAGGATATACACGATCATGTTACTATTTTATAACTCATTTCTGTCTCAGTGTATCAATCGTGATGAAGAAAAAATAAACATAAAACTGGACCACACAACTTAGATGTGGAAAATGTCTCATCAACAGCCCTTCAAGGGCTCAAATTAAGGAGTTAGCCTACTGTGTCCAAGCTGGCAGTGCTACCTGAGAGACTCCCAGAAGTCAAGTCCTTTGAGTGTGGTCCTGGGTTCTGGACTCAGCTCAGGAACTGCAATGTACAATTTAATCTAGATGGATCTGTTCCTGAACTACCTCAATCCCTTAGGATATCTCTGCTAAGTTCCCTTGCATGAGCGCAGTGGGCATGTGAACATTGTTTCCTTGTCTCTAAGTTGAGTGGCACTGATGAGCAAGTCAAGGACTTTATGTGCCTGCTGTTGATGATTCCCTCCTCAATTGGTGCCTCTAGCAAAAGTATGTGAGTTACAGATACTTTGATCATTTTTCATCTGCATACTATGCTACTCGAACTCATTTAATAAAAGCAGATTAATACATATGCTCCATGAAATTTTCCATTTATTAAAAAGATATCATTTTCATTTGTATTCTGGCTATTCAACTGATTTCTTCTTTACTTTTAATTGTTCTCCCCCAAAAAATGAGTAGAATAATTAGTGATGGATGTAGAAAGAAGTAGAAAACCCAGGGTTTTCCCTGGTCTAACACAAACTTTTTCTTGTACAGACAGTTGCAGCAGAGGCACTTGGTAATTTTCCTCTCAAAGTTCTCCTTCAGGGAGAGAGAGAATATTGTACAGGTGTAAATGTATGCCTTGGGCTATTTAATCAGGCTAACGACAGAAGTCACCGTGCATCCAAGGCAAATGTGAGCAGACTTATGGATCTGGGAAAGATATGAGACTTGGGGTTCTTGTGGACCACGCAGGCTACACCATCATTGTAACAGGGAGTAAAGGTGGTTTAAATGGCTTTAATTAAGGGAAAAACAATGACAGTGAAGGACAGAAGTAGATAGTTAATGCTAACAACAGAAGATATGCTTGTAACTACATAACAGAACACTTGTAATGAGCCAGAGATGTTGCATCTCCCACCCTTTCTTTGCTGAGTATGTGGTCCTCTTGAGATCAGAGCCAAGCAGACATAGGAGAAGAGAATGTATCTAGGTTGGCCATGGAAACACAGAGAGATGTATTTGCTGAATGTCTCCTCGTCAGCTAGTAGTTATTGGTTTTGTATCACTTCTTGAGAGGAAGGCGAGATTGCTTTGGAAATCCATACTGTTCTGCCTCCAGTGCAGCCAGCAATAGATTTACCATTGTCATCCATTGGACTTCACAAACTCCACTTTTCTCAGTGTGATACTTCAGCCTGCTCAGTCTCCTGACCTTCTTTTTTTCCTCTTGTGTAATTTGATGAGTGCACAGGTAACTCCTACAAGTCTGTCTGAAGATGTTGTGTCCTTATGGCTACTCCTAGCTTATCTTTAGGGGATGTGAAATACTTTGGACAAGTTGATACCTATTTGACTGTCACTTTAGCATAATGAACAACGATTATTCTTTAATCATCTTGTTGGACAACAAAACAGAGTTAACCGACATCTTATTTTCATAAATATAGCTTGAGTAGGATTTGAACTTTACTCCCCTTAAATAAAATAGGCATTTCACTATCCATCAGAATTTTTGGCTAACTTCCATGGGAATTTAAAGGTGTTAAAATAGCTACAGGAGGGTTTCATTATTGTTCTCTAAGTGTAATGGGAACAGATTTAAATTTACAAGGAGAAGAAGGTAATAATTAAAAACTGAACATAAGGATAATAAAGAAGAAAATGGGTTCCCTCAGACTGACATAGAAAACTTCATGAAAAGTGGAGTTCCTGCTGTGTCTTTTTTCTAGAGTGAGTAAAAAAACACTGTCTAACGGTGATTTTTTTGTGTCAGATTAATTGCTTGTGACTTCCATGGATCTTACAGCCCATAAAGATGGTTCCAGCGTAGTTCCAATGTTCCTTTCATTATTTCATAGAGAGTTATTTTTCTCCCCTTCTTGTTACCAAAATTATATACAAATAAACAGAGGTGTCGGTGAAGATATTGTGAGAGTTACAAATGTGCTGGATATGTCAGAGCTTAAGAATTTAAGCTAAAAATCACACTTGGTTCCAGTTCCTGCCCAGATTTCACCTATTTTCCCCTTCCCCACAGTGTCCCATGAGACTCAGGCATCCCTTCTGCCCATTGAATATCTCCATCTGCACAAAGTCTATGGGCCATTGAAAGTGGTGCTGTGATCTACCTATATGATAGTCTATCTCAAAACAACACTTTCTGAATTTCAGTGCGATTTTCCAGCTTGCTTCCTTCCCTGAAGAACCTACTGCTCATATCTTTTTCACCTGCGCATTCTCATTCAATCCCTCCTGCTCTTTTCTTGCAAGCCACCGGTTTGCTGTTGCTCTTATTATTTTTAACTTCTACATTTGCTCCAACTCTCGCCCTTTTTTGTCCAATAAGCCATTGAATTATGCTGCGTTAAGGATCATCTCTTTTCCGATTTCTTTTTATTCAGCCATTCTCATTGAATTTTTTCATTGCTGTGCACTTCCCAATCCTCAGATTAAACTGCCTCCTGCTTTTTTCCACTGCTAGTCTGTTTTCAGTTGGGTAATATAAGCTCAATGTCTCCAGGGACAGCTAAGCCCATACGAGGAACACCAGAGTAGTCTATTGCTGAGAGTGAACTGTCTATGATAATAAGGGAGTTTTCAGGCAGCCTCTGGAGAATTTTTGAAGGGAAAAATAATTTGAAGCTTGTAGGAATGTGTAAAATGGGATACAAAGAAAGATGGACTTACTAAAGCTAAACTCAGAGCTCATTTGTATAAGATAAGGGTGTTTATAGAAAGGTGGTACACTGGAGCTAATCTTTTAGGGTCACTCAAGGCCAATTTTGAGCTACATCTTCAAGTGATTCAACAACTGATCCAACTATTCCTTCAACAAAAGAGGGCTGAGAGATGAAATGGAAGGTTTTTTTCACAGCATATGTGACATTTTTGGCCACTGTTCCAGTAAGGATTGCGTGTCATCTTGTTTAACACTCTTCTACAAATGAGCTGTTTAAAAACACGGTTTTCCTTCTTGTTCTGGAGAAGGACAACAAGAAGTTGAAACATTTTCAGTTTCAGCTTAAATTACAAAGGGAGGAAAGAAGGAATGGGAAATCTGCTATTTACTGTTACTTTTTTTTCCTGTGTATCAACATACGTGACTAAATGGCACAATCTGGACTCAAACACTGATTATCAAGGATAGATCATTTCTGAACACAGAAGAACACAACTTGATTTTGGGAAGTTTCAAGCAGACTTCTTGGTCCTTGGCACAAGGACTTGGTGTTCACAGAGAGTAAGGACAGTGAAGTTGGTGCAATTCTCAAACAAAACCACTGGCATTCTGCTGAGCTGGAGATGTGTTTTGCAACAGACTTTTTGCTCATTAAGAACAGCTTCTATCCACCAGCACGTTAATCATTAGCTGTAGACAGCTAGAGGGGAAGAGGAATGTGTTCAGGTTTTAGCAGAACTTTTATGTGTTAAAATTGTTGGTCAAAGAAGATACGGCAGAAGATCAGGTTAAAGGCTGTATTTGAAATATTTTCAGTGGCTCTGCAGTTCAAAAGAGCAATTCAGACTGCTTGCTAGTGCACGCACCCTTACGTCAAACAGAGAAGGGAGGTATGCACCTTTTAGAGGTCTTCCAATTTACTATTCAACAGTAACTGCTTTTCTCCATTGGCTGGGTGGGGAACATGAGGATCTGGCCTCAGGACTGTGGAAGTCTCAATTTCATTTGATATCTTGAATTCTGGTTGCATACTCTGTGCCTTAGTATCTGAAGGTGATCATCCCTCAGGGTTTGGAGGGTTAATCAGTTTGACCCATAGAATGCCTTAGATTGAAGGGACCTAAAGATGACCAAGTTCCAACGCCCCTCCTGCAGCCAGGGTTTCCAACCATGAAATTAGGCTGCCCAGGGCCCCACCCAGCTTGGATCCAGGGCAGATGACTTCAACCTAAGAAATCTGTAGACCCAGATGTTGTTTTGCTGTCTCCCATAGGCCCTTTCAGCTGCCATTTAACACTCCTGGCTCCTGGCTCCAGTTCCCCCACACACAGTAAGAAGGCAATGCTTCAAGCCACTTTCATGGGGACATGGAACAAAATCACCTAATGGCACTATTGACATCACAAATGTGCCAGGTATGCCACCAGCAGTATGGTTGATGCAACAAATCCATCAGCTTGCATTCAAACCATCCATCTCCCAACACACTGGACTTTTCCAAATCCACGTTACTGGTATCAGACTCAGAGAAGGTGACTGTTGTTGGGTAGAAAACCTAGAATTATTTCACTTTGCAAAGTGTTTCAGTCAGCAGCCAACCAGACTCATACTGAGCATTCAGCGTTTTATTTTTTATGCAGAAATAAATGGCAAAATTCCCATGATCTTCAAAGGGAGAGTACTGCCCAGAGTCCGTATGTAATGCATTACTATTAGATGGAAATACTTGCTGGGCTCTGTTATTGGTGAGATTCAGAGTTTTATTTTTAACTGCTGTATTTTATGTCATTTTGGCTCTGAAGGAAACCTTTTCAATTTGTTCAGGGAGAGAAATAAAATCTGGTACAGGACAGTTTAAACTACGGTCTCTGCCCACAATATGAAAATCCAGAGATTTGGATCAAACTGTATTACCAAACACAGACTTGGGAAAGGAAGATTGGTGGTGAGCTCAGCTCTACTTTGCAGCACTGATCTTGATTTCAGGAATAATCTCTGAACATTGCAGACTGGATCTCTGCTAAAAAAAAAAAAAAAGAGGTGAGTCTGTTGGGAAAGAAGCAGGCCAAAGAAAATAGTTGAGGTGATCAGGTGAAGCCACCCTTGAGAAGAAGGAGGGCACAAGCAATTGCAGTGTTCTCTGGTGTGGCTGCAGCTGTGGGTAATGAGGGAAAAGGTTGGCAGAGCAGCAATGTGCCCACGTCCTGCCTGAATCTGACCACTGTGAAACCACTGCTCTGTGACTGCCAGTCTGCCTTAAGCTCTGTATGTGAGCGTGGGACCTGTCATTACTCCCAGAGATCACAGCTGTATCCATAGCAGGCTGCTTCCCCCAGGGCCCTCCTCACCTGCGCTCATACTTTACCCCAAACAAAAGCTGCAGACTACTATCCTCAAAGGGGATGCCAGCAACTGTGGGCTGATTTATGAGTTGCTGTCAGATACAGTGTGATAGAAGGAGGTTTGCAAGCTTTGCAGGGAGAACAGGTGGCTCTAAAGAAAGCTCTCTAGGTCATGGCTGTTGATAAGTTGGCTAGCTGCAGCTTGGGAAACTGTATTTTCTACATCTGAGCATCTGGAGGAACCCAAGACTGGGAGGAGATGGATGAGCAATTGTTCTTCATGGCTCTGTCTCCTACACAGGACATAGATTACTGGGGGCAAGTTATTCCCTAGGTGGGCATCACCAACATCAGTGCTGTAGCTGACCCAGGAGCCCCACATAAGAGCCATGGCTATGTTCAATCAACCACGTGAACCAAAAGCAGAGAAATCACATGCATTTTGAGAGACAGCAATTAACATAGTGAGCAGATGTGAGAGTGTGAAGGGAAAGGCTGTGATAGATCCTCCCACTTTCCTCTGAAGCACCTGCTTGTGGTCACAGCTGTAAGAGTGCTGCTTGACCCAAGGGCTGCTCTAACAGAACTATTTATTTGTGTTTGACCCAAGATTCATGGCTTCTTGTGTCGACAGCCCAGAAATGGCATGTTCAGTGCACTGAGCAGAGGGAGGAGAAAATTCACATTTCGCTTTCTGTTTTTCCCATTTTACAGCATTCCTGGAGTGAGATGAATAAATTCTACCCTTTGCTCATGAACACTTCTCAAAGAGTCAGTGTCAGAATTGTGGTTTCTCAGTAAAAGCTCTGGACCAGCTTTCCAAATGGAGTGGGCAGATTGCAAACAGCTGAAGGACCGAGCAGCACCATTTGCCATGGTGAAGAGCCACTAGGCTAGAAGAAAACTTCTCGGCTCATTGCAGCCCTGATCTTGCAAGTGGCAAGGCCATATGCTGGATCTACACTGAGACAGCTGTGAGAGCTCTATTTATATGACATGGCTTATAAGCTTCTTCATTTGTCAGTCCACATGTGTGTGTCTCGTGCCAAATCTCAAGTCTTCAGTACATGTCCCTGTTACCCAAAAAGATCAAGATCGGTCTTGGCATAAACTCTCTACCTTGAGTTTGATCATATTGTACTTTTGGGCTTTAGTAGGACTCCAGCACACCCTCAACCTTTTACAAAATTGCTTTTTTGTTGTCTTCCCTCTAAACCCCTCTCTTCACTCTGCAATTCAAACCCAGGCCTTCTGCACACTGATCAAGGCGTGGACCTGGATCCAGATGGTCACACCAGGACCTGACCTGCAGCAGGTACACACCTCGCCTGTGATGCACAGAAATGTTTCCAGAGCTGGAACCCTGGGATAAGTCACTGCATGCTTTGCCCATAGTAGGATAGGGGGGCTCTGGCTGCTACAACGGAAGAGCCCTTGTGGCTGGAATTCCACCTCAAAGTGATTTGTGAATTCAAGGCAACTCCTCCTCAGCAATCTGCCCACCACTGCATTAGGGCCATGAGTCAGGGAGCAGCTAGAGGAAGCTACAGGGCAGGTTTGCAGCCAGAGCCTTCCTCATGCATGGAAGTGGTTGGTGTGTGTGGGAATGTTCCCCTAAACATCGCCAATGAGCACTGCCACACACAGTTCCTTAACACCTCCAGAGACAGTGACTCCACCACCTCCTTAAGCAGTCTGTTTCAGTGCACGATCACTCTTTCCTTTGCCTCTGTGCAGCTTCCAGCCACTCTGCCCCAAGTCTGCAGCCGATGCATGGGGATGTCCTGATGCACAGGACTTGACACTTTGTCTTGCTGAAGCTCATATAACTAGCTTCAGTCCTACTGGTCCAGATCCCTCTGTAGGGCCTTACTACCCTCAGGTAGATGAACACTTCCCCCAGCTTGGTGTCACCTGCAAACTTACTGAGCCTGCACTCAATTCCCTCATCCAGACTATCAATACAGATATTAAACAGGATGGACTCCAATACCAACCTCTGGGGAACACCACTTGTGGCTTGGGTCTGGCTTATACATTTCCCTGAACATGACTGTGAAAAGCAGCTCTTGGCTGCTCAGAATGAGACCAGCTGGAAGCCCTGAGTGCAGCTGGGAATTGAGGTCTTGGAGCAAAGGCCTATCAGTGCAAGGGGCAGCTAGGTAATAGAGAAAAGGCTTGCTAACCGTGTGTGGGACACCCTTTCCAGAGATAATTAAGCACATCTGGCCCTGATTTGTGCAAGTAGGATAGAGCATATCAGTGGAAGGTGAGGACTAAGAGATGAGATCCACTAGCAAACGCAGAGCTGCTCCCAGGTGGAGCAAGGAGCCCGCTTCTGCAGCAGCTTTAGGAACAAGAGACCTGCACAGGTTGCTATGCAGGCACAAATCAGTTCCCAGCAGGGCTTGGCAGCAAGTGAATCAAAACCATCCCTCTGGGGCATGGAGCTGCTCCAAAATGCACCAGCTTCACCTTGTTTAAAAATCTACAGCCTGGGAGCACCACAGTCCCCATCCCCTTCATGATGCCCCCCCTTTCTGCATCCCTCTCCTGAAATTACATACAGCCCAGAAACCAGGGGTGCTGGCATCTGCTTGGATAATTTGGTTGACTGAGCATGACTTTGATTCATTTATTTTTTTGAGAGGGAAATATTTGGCTCAACTGGAGAATAATTCCCTCCCTCTCCTGAGATTGTCTTTAATAGCTAAATCTCAGCATGCTCACTCACTCTCATACCTCTGGAAACAATTGAATCAATTCCTTGTTTATAGAATGACTGTGTTTGTGCACAGTTGACAAAATAAAACTTGCCTTTTATTCTCCTGCTAGATCTCAACAGCATTTGTCTTCAAAGAAAACTTTCACTAGATTCTGTGTGTTTCTTATTCTCCAGCAGTATGCACTTTTAGGGAAATGGGAAATTAGGTCCAGGGCAAGACATATTACTCACATGAAGGAATTCAGGTCCGGACCCAAATCCATTTTTTCAGTCCTCAGTCCGTCTGATTTCCAGAAGCTGATAGCTGGAACTGGACTTGAAATACACAACACAGACATTTATATCATAGATCTCAATCACAGATAATGCGCCAAAAGCTCTGCCTTGATAGTTTTTTTTCAGGAATCTGCTGATCTCTCAAACTCCTTTTGCTGAGGTTCATTTTCTCTGCTCTTAGCCATCTGGAGGGTGGAGAACCTGTACTCTTTCAGCCTTAGAAGTGGGATGGCGTGAATCAATCCATCCTTGCAGTAAGGATTCCTCTGTCCTAATATAGATGTCTAATTTGGATGAGACAAAGCCCCCCAGGATCCCACGTTTAAGAGGAGCCAAAGGTCACTTTCTTTCAGTAAGATGCCTACATTTGATCCCAAAATCCCTTGCAATGGCACTGGAAACAGAATGTAGATCTATGAATGTACAGCTACATATGAAAGGACCACCCAGTACTGGGGCAACAGGGACTTACCCTGGACAAGGTGGACGATAGAGACCTGAGATGCTCCCTGGGAAAGGCCTGGAAGCTGTGCCTCCGTGCAGCATCTCAGACGTCTATCATTTCTACAGAGAATCATGGAGTCATTAAGATCAGAAAAGACCACTAACATAATCTAGTCCAACCATCTACCTACCACCAATATTGATCTCTAAACCATGTTCCTAAGTACCACATCTCCACACTTATGGAATATCTGCAGTTATGGTGACTCCACCACTCCCTCGGGCAGCCTGTGCCAGCGCCCAACTACTCTTCCTGAGAAGAAATTCTTCCTAATATCCAACCCGAACCTCCCCTGACACAACTTAAGGCCATCACCTCTCATCCTATTGCTGTTACCTGGAAGCAGAGGCCGACCCCCACTCAGCACAGTCTCCTCTCAGGCAGTTGTAAACATCACTGAGGTCTCCCTGAGCCTCTTCTCCACACTGAACAACCCCAGCTCCCTCAGCTGCTCCCATCACACTTGTGCTCCAGACCCCTCACAGCTCCATTGCCCTTCCCTGCTCAGGACCTCAATGTCTTCTTATAATGAGGGGTCCAATGCTGAACACAGCACTCGAGGCGCTGCCTGACTTGAGGTGTGCCAGTACAGAGAGACGATCACCTCCTGCTCCTGCTGTCTGCGCTGTCTCTAATGCAAGCTGAGTTGCTGCTGGCCTTCTTGGCCACGTGGGCACACTGCTGGCTCATGCCCAGTTGGCTGCCAGCTAACACCCCGAGGTCCTTTGCCGCTGCACAGCCTTCCAACCACTCTTCCCCAAGCCTTCAGTGATGCATGGGGTTGTTGTGGCCAAAGTGCAGGACCCGGCACTTGATCTTGTTGAATTCTATCCCAGTTTAGGCTTAAGTAGAGGCCAAAAAAAAAAAAAAAAAGAGAGAAAACTACTTATATTTTCCCAGTGTAAAAGTAACACCATATATGCTGTGTGGCTTAATCAGTTAATTTCCATGTTCTAACTTTCACATCATGTTGGCAAAACATCCCAGTTCCTCCTGGAGCCAGGACAGTCACCCTGGGCAACCACGGCCCAGGCTTAGCATGGGTTTTGGCTCTCCCAATCAACCTTTGGCCCTCAACTTTGTCATGCCTTGCCTCTGCAAGCAATCTTCCCAGGGTTCAGGGTCAGCCATTGCCTGTGCTTGACATGTGGGTCCCAGTGGCTTTGCTGACACCAGCAGTCCGTTTGGCACAGCTATCCTGTCCCAATTGCTCCTGGAAGGAAGCAGGGATTTTGAAAAGAAAAATGAGTGCCCACACAGAGCTATTCTGGAACAGCCACGATTCCTTTAATTCCCATCCTCTGTTTGTTTGAAATAACAAGCTCATGTAGACAAGCTTAAACTCAGTTCTGCCAAAAAATACAAAAATCATTGTATTTCTTAGTGCTCATCAGTCAGAGTATGCTCCTGTCTGTGGCTCTTAGAAGGAGCTTCTGCTGGGTTTTCTGTGTCTTGAATTAACTGCTGGCCACTAATGTCAGAGCGCTTGTCCTGTGAAAGCAAATTGGACAGAATAGGAGGAAAGGCCTTGAGTTGTGCCAGGGAGGGTTCAGGCTGGATATCAGTTACAGTTTCTTTTCTGAAAGAGTGGTGATGCATTGGCACAGGCTGCCTGGGTAGGTGGTGGAGTCTCCAATTTGGAGGTGTTGAAAAACCATGGAAATGTGATACTGAGGGATGTGGCTTAGTGAGCAATATTGGTGGTAGGAGTACAGTTGGATTAGATGACCTTTGTGATCTTTTCCAACTTTGATGATTCTGTTATTCTATGATAGGCTGAAGAGTGTTGTCTAGGGAAGCTTTTGCTAACCTGTGGGTTTTGACCACATAGAGACTTTGCTAAACACATCCAGTAGGTAGTTGTGGACACGAAACAGCATTGGCCAGCTGCAACATCATTCTTCCTGCATGGGAAATGAGAAGAACCTGCTGGTTAGCAGAGCTCACCCCAGCTGGGGAGCTGCTGACTGCCTTGAATTGCCAGCCCTTGGTGCATGCTTTACCTCTGCAATCAGTGAATACCAGCACGTCTCACTCCCTGCCTGGAGGGACCAACCTGCTGCTGGATGGGCTGGCTGGAAACTGGTCCCAGCATAGGGAACTTTGAAAAGCACTGATATATTTGGAAAAAAGAAATGCAATGAAGAATAGCCTTATCTTCAGATTGATATAAAGCATAGCTATTTTTACCTCAGCGTATCTAATTTTTATGTGTAATCTAAGATAATCACACCATGGAGGGAAGGTTGTGTCATTGTAAGTCCACAGCAAACTTCTCAAAGCAAGCTCCAAGGAGGAGATAATCTTTTCCTTGTCTAGTTTGTTTGGAAAGTAAATTAAACTCACTGGTTCTCATTGTATATTTACCCATTGTATGCATATCAGTTCTCAGTGGTACAAAGTACAACTTTTTCAGCCGTGCAAATCAGTTCACTTGGTTTTGCTGCTCTCTTGACTCAAAATGATTTTTAAAAATATGTATAATACAATATTTTGTCAAAAGAGTGTATTCAGCTGAATTTTGCTGTAAATGACATGAGAAGCTGGTCTGTATTGCAGTGAAAAAAAGAAGGGTCTTTGCTTCTATGTTTTGTTAGTATTCGCAGTACAACCTACTTTGCACAGGAGCAGGGATATTTTCTGCTTCATCTCAAGCCAAGAACTATGCAGTTTGTGTTATAGTGAACACAACTGCAGAATTGCACTGTCCCCCATTCCTCCTTTGCAGAGGGAGACATTGTTTCTACCAGGCCGGTAGGAAAATTAATAATATTTAGAAGTGAGCCAGACTTGCTGCCCTGTAAAACTCATTGTGTAAAGATGCTTCTGGCTTGGAGAAATACAGGCGAAGAGAAGAACTGACCATACTCATGATTAATTCATTATGTTGATGCAGAGTGATGTAGACGCAAGTGCGAACTAACAGATGGTTAAAACTATATCAGTGTGAACATTTATAGGTGGCTCTATCTATTGACTTATTGCCCGTTTATGAAAACACACAATAACTTTGTAGTCCTTTACTAGCTATTAAAGCAACTGTCGTGTGAACTGTTCCTGGAAAAAGACATACCTTACCTCTCATTAAAGTGTAAGATGGAAATTTTTTTGCCTTTTTACTTTCAAAGTCAGTCTGGATGGTACAAAGTGCAGTGATGGAGGGGAGAAAAAGATATACATGAGTGCTCTACAAGCACGGACCGGTAGGACCCAAATGACACAGCCTTTCTTTCACTGCCTGCTTCTCTTGTGCCCTCACTAAACTTGATAGAGAGGGAGGCAGCAAGATTTTGGGGTCTACCCTCAGCAGCAACTTAGTCATGATTTAAGAGATGAAGCAATGAGATGTGATCTTAGAGGGTGAGGTGAGGTGAAAGGTCTGATGAGGGGAACCCACCTGATACCTTCCATGTGTCAGCTAATGTAGGTGGGAAAAACCTTGTAGAGCTGTGTCTACTGTGCAAACATGCTTCCCTGTGAGATTTATGGGGCTCCAGACTTAGTTGACATCACCACAAGTCTATTTCTTCACATAGTGTTTCATCTTTCCCCATTTGGAAGACAACATGGAAAAGAGGGGAAAAAAGCCATAAACAAATATTTCCTTTTTAAGCACAATGTCCACATAGGTAGAGCACTCTGGGGCTGTGGGGGTGGAATATGTTTTTCCCTCTTGGTTTTTCCTCATCCCTAATCTCTTGGTCCTCTGCAATGTTTCCTTTCTCTCCATGGTTACTCTACACAAACAATTTCCCTGCTGACTTGGTCAATGCAAAACTGCCATAAATATGCACTGCAGATGCAACGTATTACTCACCCATGGGGTGACTCATCTGGAGCGCAGCAGAGTATGGCAAAGAGCCATAGTGGGGCCTCTGAGTCAGCAAGGCTGATTTGCTTTTGAACTCACACCTACAGTGAGTGGAAGCACAACTCAGTGTCTTCTGCAGAAACCCAGGGAGCACTGCATGGGTGGCCCTGATGGCTCATTCAGGAGATTACTGGAAATTAAGGGAGGAAAGGCCTTGACTGATATTCTTGTTGTCACTGGCAGAGGGATTGTGTAACGAAAAGGTGGCCATTGTGATCAGATGCAGAATTCAAGCCTAAGCCTTCCCATGGCAAAAGCCCAAACCTCAGTCACTGGAAGCCAAGGAGGTGTTAGCACCTGGCTGTGGGTGGGCACAGCAGGATGCAAGAAACAGAAGGAAAATCCACATAGGTGATGTGCCTTCTTGTAACAGAAAGCAAGTTTCGTCTTGTGAGTCCATATACCATGCATTTTCTTGTGTTGTTGACACTAACTCAGCCAAACTACATCCTGAGTCAGTATGGTCTCAGCGTCCTCTGAATGCTCAGAAGTATCCTCTATTCACAGTGGACTGTTCATTCCCAGACATGAGATCAGGGTTCACAAGAGGTCAGGGGACCTTCCCCAAAGTGATTAGGTTTTCATGGTGACAGATTAAGGAAAATTTTGCTTGACAATATAGTCAGTCAATACAGTGGGCAAACAAAGAATAT